GGGGAATCGAATAATGGCAAGAGGTGGAAGGCTCAGGTAGGAGTGGGCCACAGGACGTAGAAGGAGCAGAGAGGAAGGGGACGGACAGAGGCTGAGGCTAGGTCTACAATACCCGCCTGAATCGGTGGGTAGAAATCAACCTCTCGGGGATCGAATTATCGCGTCTCGTCGGGACGCAACAATCGATCCCCGAATCGACGCTCTTACTCCACCAGCGGAGGTGGGAGTAAGCGCCGTCGACGGGAAGCCGCAGAGGTCGATTTTGCCACCGTCCTTACAGCGGGGTAAGTCGGCTGCGATATGTCGAATTTAGCTACGCTATTCGCGTAGCTGAATTTGCCTATCTTAAATCGACACCCTCCTCCCCTGTAGTGAAGACATAGCCTTGGAGGGACAAAAGGGAGTGGAAGGACCAGAGAGCTGGGAATGGGAGGAGGGGGACACAGAGGGGAGGCACTGTGAAGCGGGGCAGTGCGCTGCGGCTCCTCCCAGGCAGCCCGGGAAGTTTGCTGAGCATCCCCGAGACACTGCAGAGCGCTGACTCGCTGCAGGGGAGAGTCACACGGTGCGGCTGGGGGAAGGTTCAGCTGGAATTGACGCGTTTGCTGGCTGGTCCCTGCTTGGCCCGGAACAGAGTCGGTGAGTGGAGAAAGCAGGGAGCCAAAAAGAAGCGGCTTCGGGGGCATTTGCCTGAGACCAGTGCAGCTGCAGGCGCGCCAGAGCCGTCACCCACACCCTGAGGACTAGGAGGACACCCACAGAGACACCCATCTTCTCCAGGGTGCTGGGTCCCCGAATGCTCCCGAGCGGCAGAGGCGAGCTGGGAGTGTGCAGGCAATAGCTCGGGTGTAGAACGTGAGTACAAGCAAAGCTAAACCGCTGATCCCCGCACTTTTCAACTACAGGAAACTCTCTTTAGAAACCTGGCTACGCTCAACTCGCCGCTGCAGGGGCAGTTAGTCAAGAGGTGTCTATAATAATAACTACAGGACTCACGATCCGAGTCACGATCGTCTTTAATTGCCCGGCTATAGGTCGCTAGTGAGGTATCTGTTGGCTGGTTGGATTATTTGGCGCTGGTTCGGGGAAGGGAGTTTTTAAAAAGCGGGGGGAGGGGGTCATGCTTGATTCCTGCTTGGAATTCAGCCCCGCACACCCCCACCCGGCTTTGTGAGTCCATCCAGTCCTCCCCTTGCGGAGAGCCGGCTGCAGAGTTTGGGGAAGTTTTGGACTCTCCGATTGGCTTTTCCTGGAAGCTCGCGGCTCGCCTGGCGTTTTTCTAACGAGTCTCACTTCTCCTTGCAATCCGTGCAGGTGGCGCGGTGCGAGCGGGCTGGTTTCCAGCTCGTGTTGGCTTCTAACGAATGCACGGGAGTGAGCCTAGCTAGCGGTCTCGCTGCCGAGCGCGGGACCCACCTCCCTCGCTGCCGCTCGCGAGTCACCTTGTCCCTCGCGTTCCGGAATCCGAACTTTCACGCCTGTCGCTCCAGCTCAAGCCTGACACGACGCGGGGTTGATTCTAGTCAGACAGAGGGCAGGGGACCCAGAGTGGGGATTTAAAGCGGAGCGTGCTATTCTGGCGGGTAGATGCAGAAAACAGGGCTCTGGGGAGGCACTTACGTATAAAGTGGTGCTTACAGAAATAACCTAGCTAGACATTATAGACCATTACAGAGGTGGGGCCAACAACTAAACCGTACATGCCACCTCTTGTTCACTGGCACCTCACTCTTCTGAGCTAGCTGGAGCTAGCAGTGTAGTGGCGTATCAAATACTTTATCCTTAACCTGAATGCCTGGGGCTGACCTTTACGCCATGAGTGGGTGTACTGTGTCAGAAGGACGCTGAGGTAGTTTTGCTATTTGTGGGCTCAGGTCACTTGCACTAGTCTGATGGCTGCGATATGCTTTGCGAGGAAAGGATTGTGTGTGTGTGTGTGTGTGTGAGAGAGAGAGAGAGAGAGAGATCAGCTAGTTTGGACAGATCCAGACTTATTTGCTTAGTCATGATTTTAGACCGATTTGCATTTAAACGTTTCAACTAAAGTCAGAGGCCCTGAATTGTGGTACAACGAGTCCATCACTCTTGCTAGTCCCAGTTATAAAACCACATATTCTTTGTCCTATTTCCATGTTGATTAATTATTACGAATTTCACCTGAAGGGATATGCCTAAGTAGTCAAGAACCAACCAGCCAGCCTTACCTCCATTGTGCTAAGAACACGATTTAGACCGGCTGTGTGATAGGGCAGTTCCAGTGAACAGTCCTGGAGGTGCTAGTAAAGTATCAAGGTTGGTGATCAAGTTCCTTGAAACTGAAAATATCATCATTCCCAAGCCTTACAGCCCAAGAGTGGTGTAGTATTGGAGTCAATTACAAATTTGGATCTCCACCTACAGCTGGTTGTTACATTAGCTTAGGCAAAGTTATATGCTGTGAGCCCTGCATTTCTCTGGTCATTGCATTACAAGTTATTTCATTTTTTTCTTGCAAATTTTAGTACCTGTCATATTTTATTCCTCAATACTCTCATGTGGTGGTTAGTCTTGGAGGCTTTTTTAAAGTTATACAACTCCCATGTCAGCTTTTATAATCAGTTCTTTGTCCTACGTACTATACTTAATGTAATTTCTAAGGTTTCCTTATACTGTACTAGATAACCTGAAAAAGTACATGTTGGTGCCACTTGCTGCTTTTTTTTAGATTTATTTGTTGCCACTTTATTTGGAAAGATCTTGGAAGAGAAATTAGTTTGATATGTAAAGTGAAGGCTTAGTGTCACGCTGATTGAATTTTCGGGAGATTGGTTAAACAGGTAAAGTCATGAGAGTTGTTCCGGATTAGAAAATTACTTCCTATTTAGAATAGTGACTCTCTGCATACCTCAGTTCTTTGTTTAGAAAAGAAAGAGCTTTGACCCAAGTGAGTGAAAGTTGGGGTCACTGCAACTTTTTAGAATCTGGAAACTGAACAGTGGATTCTTTCTCAGGAGGGAGGGTAGCTAGAGGGAGTGAGGAGAAGAAAGGAGTAAAGATAACTTTTGCCAATATGCTTAAAGCCAAGATTCAAAACACCCAGAGCTCCTGTATGAGAGTTGCACGCTTGCTACTTGGAAGAATTACTAATGCAAAATGCTGTTGTCTAAAAGCTAGAAGCCAAGAAAAATAACGCTTTATTAAAGGTTTTGGCCTAAGCCATAAAACTGCCAGCACATTCATTTTAAAAACTTTTAAATTTCTTTTTGTTTGTTTGTGCTTTCCAAGAAATATTGTTCTGCAGCTGAAGTTTGTTGTCTAAATTCCATTTGCAGCTAGAGCCATTCAATTTCAAATTGGGAATGTAGATTAAAATTCACCTATGTTCTCAGAAAGCTTTTTGTATTCTTAAATTTAATGCCACCAGGGCATGCCTGACAAACTACACACATTTACTCATCGTCTGGAAAAGCTTTTAAAATAAATAAAATAGAAGCAAGTTTGATGTCGTACACATATTCTTTTCTTTTCCTTCTCCTTTCTTAAAATTGTCATTTGTGGGTAAAGCAAATGGCTACATATGGCGAAGGATGGAGACCTGGAATGTGTGGACTCTCCAGTCCCTTTATTCAGAGGGGTTTTTTTTGTTGCTGCTTGGAATGTAGGGAAAGGTCAGTTCCAGTGGTGTACTGGATAGAGATATAATTCAGTTACCAATGTGACTGTGTAATATAATATGTCCTTGTATAGACAAAAGTAAGAAGGAGAACATAGAAACAATGAGCCAAACTCTTTTCTCCTTTACACCCATAAAACCTCTTTGCCTTCAGGGTGGGTGTAACTGAGAGCAAAGTTGCTCTGTTGTTGTTCCAAATAACATAACTCCTAGAAGACTTATTTCTTCAGTCTACTGCAAGTTGCTGAATGTCTATTGTGTGATGCTGAGAACCCTCAGTTCCCAATAGGAGTCTTACAGGAGTTGCTTAGCACTTTGCAAGATAGACCCTATACATTACTTATGTGTAATGGACCAGCTCCTGCTCCATTGATTTCAGTGGTGCAAAACTGGAGCCAACAGTGTTGGGGCAGATCTTTGGCTTCCACACAGGCCTATGAACCACTCCAGCAGCACACTGAGACCACGAAGTGTATTAATTGGGCAGTTAGGTATTTCCCTGACATGGGAAAATCCCCAGCTACCACAGCCACATTACTGACTCTATACTACTCCCTCTGTTCTCAGCATGGAGAGCATATTGGCAGCGCTGCTTTGCTTTGGGATCCCAGGCCAACTTAGTGGGTGCTGGGGGGCCATTTCTGCTGGTGTGAGTTAGAGCAGCAAGGAGGCTGCTATACTTTGTATAGGGACAAACTGGCCCCTAGCAGCACTGGGGTTTGGGGGATAAAGTGAGGTGTAAAGGTGATATACATCCACCTTTGCCCCCTACCTTGAGGTCTGCATTGAGAACAGCTGAATCAGACATGTAGATGAAGATTTGATATTTAAGTGTTCTCAGTGAGATGTTCATGTGAACCTCAGTTTTTCAAGGTGAGTGGATATCACATTGTTATAAATATGATGGGAGAGAGAGAAGTTTCACAGCTTTTCTGCTGTTATTGTTTATCTGGAAACAATTTTCTGCTAGGGCAATTTTAAAGGAGACCTGGAAATAAATTAGGGTTTTGTGATTTTTTTTTGTTTCTTTAATTTATGATGTATGAAGAAGACATGGATGGCTTTTGTTTTATTTAGAAGAAGTGAGTGTGGGAAGGTCCTGTTTCTTTGTTACATTAGAAGTTGGTCTCATCTACCCTATTTTACTTGGAACACTCTATGGACAACAGGAGAAACAGAAGGATTAGTATGCACTGACCAGTCATTTGTATGTAACTGGCATTAAGACATTTTGTAGAATGTCTACATCTGTAGTGCTGTAGTACAGAAAGTGCTGCTTAAAAATCAATAGCATAATATGGTCCAAAACATTACTTTTAAATGTTGCTTCCAGATTAAATTTTAATTTTCCAGCATTTTCTTAAATTATTTATTGCATTATTATTAATATAAACATTGAAAAGGTTCATCAGTGAGATTCATTTTCTGTAGGTCCTAACAGGTAATATTGCTTTCTTTAGATCATGTTGACGAAATCATTGTTCAGCAGGAAACTCTATTGTTGATCATCCAATACACTGTCCAAAGCAAGCAAAGGTTTACTTTGATTGTGATACTGCATATGATCATAATTTTAACAAGAGGTAGTTAAGAACAATGGAAGATATCCTGTGTATTTTCTGTTGATTAAATATATAGTCCATGTCGTCAGGTGGTGTAAATTGGTGCAGCTACACTGACTTTAATAGAGCTACATAATAGAAAATACATAACAAAATGACGGCTCTACTCACAAAATAGTGACTACTGAAATATTTATTTTGTTGCATGTGATACTGTAAGTAGGTTTCCAACTTACAGTATCGCATGAACAAAATAAATATTTCAGTAGTCACTATTTTGTGAGTAGAGCCGTCATTTTGTTATGTATTCTCTATTATATATACATCAACTAATCATTTTGTTGTGTGCCCAGTGATGAACATCCTTGCTTGATCTAACTATGGCTATCTGATTTCTTCTATGGTCACACATAAGAATGCATTTTAGTGGGAAGGCACTTACAATGAATGTGGACAATGTGAAATTCCTTTTGTAGTGAAGGAGAAACACCCAAAAAGTTTCAGTGCAATACAGTGTGCAGATTGTAAATTATTTATGATAGTCAACCTTTGCTTAGAATAAAGTTGTTTTGTTTAAAAGGTTCAGATTTATAGGGCTTCAGAAAAACTGTTGTCAACCTAATGGTCCAATCCTATTCCAGTGACATCAATGGGAGTTTTGCCTCCCATCTTCAGTGGGGAAAGGATCAGGCCCAAGTTGTAATAGTGTTTATTGAACAGTATATGTATTTTCTATAGTACCTAATAACTAAGTGTTGGTACCAGTCTGACCATGCAGTATCTAAGTTCTAACAATTCCTGCAAAATCATAAGGCTGAAGCACCACCATACTTACATCATCACATATTTTTGCATAGTCATGTAGTCCTTTTGCAGTATTTGTATGCCATAATAAAAAAAATGAGTCTCGGAGACTCTATTGTGAATTTATATTACATCAAAGTTCATGGGAAAAACTAGTGATGATTCAAAGTCATGACAGAGAACGAAAAATTAAAGCTATTTTTAAAAGTCTTAGTAAAATATTAAGTCTGATTAATCTTTCACGTATAATTAAATCGAGAAACTAATGTAGTTCTGAAGTTACATGCTATGAACTACTGATTTCTTTTCATTAGATGGTACAAATAAAGGTTGGACTTAGTTTGTATATAAAGTAATGATACTGAAAAGTTACCTAATGCAACCAACTAGTAGAATTGTCTTTGAGCTCATGGGTTTTCAGACATCAACTTAACTATAAATAGTATAATTTTGCCATGTTTAGAGAGAGAAACTATTTTAGGCATTTATAGCACATCTATTACAGTATCAGCTGGGGCCTGGGCACCTGACAAGTTGAGCACAAGTGGCTAAAATCCACCTTTATACCTTTCTTAATCCTAGGGCTGCCAGGGACCAAAACAGCTCCCACAGCCACTTATAACAGTCACAGGGATGTTCCACTGGTTAGACATCAGCAGAGCACATAGCATTCAAGCACCGCTGCCTAGACCCTGTCACACTCCTGACCTGTCCCAGAATATCCCCATCCTATCCCAAGCTGCCTCATCATCACCTCTGGATTCTCCCATGCTCATCAACACTTTAGAGATGGTGCAAAGTCACTTTGTACCTCTTCAGTGGCCCAGGGAGCATAACAGGATCTGAGGATCTGATTTGTTATCTTAAAAATTGTGTTGGCTTTGGAGGATTTTAAGTAAAACTACTTACACTTATTCCTGCTTAGAGTCAAAACTGGGTAGTTGCTAAACTCCCTGAGATTGGTTGGGTGTTTGTGCTAAACCTTCCTCCCTACTCCTCAGTTCAACATACAGTACTTTGTTTACTCAGCAATAGATATTTTGGATCCGACAACATAAGGCGTCAATACCCTCCATTTACCTCTTTTTTTTCATCAGTAGAATTATAATCAAAGTACATGCCTAAAGTTTTAGTTAGTAGGTGGTTGGCTTTCAGATACCAAATGATCAAACCCACTGTAATGCCAGTCCTTGGTATATATTTAATGTTCCCCATGGTATATATCATTACAAGGCATATACATAGGATTTCCTTTATATAAAGACAGTGATATTGACTCTACTGACTTTTTTTCTTCACCAGGTTCTTGGTTTCGCTGCCACTGCTGGATGTTGACATGCAACAACTACTGAAGCCTGGGGCATCTTCAAACGACTCAGAGAACTGCGATAGGGAATGTGACTTGAGCTCCCTCTTGTGGAAAGATATTGGAATTAAACTTTCATGATTTTAAAAAACAAAACAAATTATGGCAACAGTTACCATGCCATTTGTTGCTACGTTCACCCCTCCAGGAAATGAAGAATCTGACTCTCTAATCGTGCTACATTATAATTATACAGGGAAACTTATTCTAAAAGAAAAGGCAACTGATCACATAGGGTTAACAACTGTTTCATTTCTGATCATATGTAGTTTCATAGTCCTGGAAAACTTGATGGTGTTGATTGCCATATGGAAAAATAACAAATTTCACAACCGTATGTACTTTTTTATTGGCAATCTAGCTCTCTGTGATCTGTTGGCTGGAATTGTTTACATAGTAAACATTCTTATGTCTGGAAAAAGAACTCTGAGCCTGTCCTACACAATCTGGTTTATTAGGGAAGGAAGTATGTTTGTTGCCCTAGGAGCTTCCACTTTAAGCTTATTAGCCATAGCCATTGAGAGACATTTAACTATGATTAAAATGAGGCCTTATGATGCAAATAAAAAGTACAGAGTCTTCCTTCTTATTGGAACATGTTGGCTTATCTCGGTTTCCCTGGGTGCCTTACCAATCCTCGGCTGGAACTGTATCAACAATTTACCAGACTGCTCAACAATTTTGCCTCTTTATTCCAAGAAATATGTTGTATTTTGCATAAGTATCTTCATAGCCATTTTGGTGGCAATTGTTATCCTTTATGCACGTATTTACATACTGGTAAAATCCAGTAGCCGTAACGTCACTAATCATAGTAACTCAGAGAGATCTATGGCACTACTTAGGACAGTTGTTATTGTAGTTGGTGTTTTCATTGCCTGTTGGTCTCCATTATTTATTCTGTTGCTTATAGATGTAGCCTGCAGAGTAAAAGAGTGTGCCATTTTATACAAGGCTGACTGGTTCATTGCTTTGGCTGTCCTCAATTCTGCAATGAATCCCATCATCTACACTTTAGCCAGCAAGGAAATGCGTCGGGCTTTCTTTCGCCTTGTTTGTGGCTGTCTAGTGAAGACCAATGTGTCTAGATCTTTGCCTATTCAGCCCACTCCAGATCAAAGCCGAAGTAAGTCTAGCAGCAGCAATGCACAGAAACCAAAGGATGATTTCCCACAGATTAGTGTTCCCTCAAGTATAACTGAAAAAGATAAATCACCATTTCAGAATGGAAACTTGTGCAAATGAAGGACTCAGCAAGTCAAGGACTCGTCTATGGCTTTTTAGGATTCAATTACAAACTTTCATTTTTCATGCACTTAAATCATAACTTAAATCATAGGGGAAAATACTAACCACTTATTTAACTGAGTGTCTATTTATCACATGACTTGTTTTGGTTTGGGTTTTAATTCTGTAAAAGATCTGACTCAGGAAAGCTTTTTCTACTACCCAACAGTCTGCACAAAATTCTTGTGTATCATTATTACATGCATGACATCAGTGTATTTGGTAAAGTCTGATCTTAGAGTACATCTACATCACCTACAAGAAACGTCAGCTATTATACATATCCTACTATCCTGTTTATTGTTAATTGGGACAAAGGTTACTTACATTATACAAAGTGCATTATATTTCTCTATACATATCTTGCTATTATGTTAATAGCCTTACATGTATGTGGTATAAATAACTGTATATTTGTACATTTCTTTATTAAATAGTAATTGTATGGCAAAACTTTGTATTATGCTACGCATAGTATTACAGTATATAATGCAATAATACAGATTATACAAATATGTAGAAATTTCAAATAGTATGTTTGAAAATGTATGAAGTAGTAATCCTGAACTGAGCAGATGAAGATGCTATGTCTACTCAGTACTTTTTCTTGCACCCAGTAACCACAGATTGCTCATGTTTGCATAGTAACAGTATGATCACTAGGGCTGTGGCCAAATTTTTTTAGTTTATTTTAAGCAAACTGTAGCAAATAACCATTGACAGTGAGTATATATGTTTGTTATTCAAGGTAGTTAAAATATGATCTAACAATTCACACATATATCAAGTGTAGGTACTTTTTCAATGCATGTATTTTTACTTACCTTTTTAAATACTGTATATTGCAAACAGTATGTTAACCTGTGAAAGTCTCTACGAAGTGGCATTCTTCCACAGTTAAAGCAGGCTTTCTTTTAAAAGGCAATGGACCATGACAAAATACTTTCAGAATCTCTGGAGTTCCATCCAGGAGCTAGTACAGCGTGAAGCTGTATTAACAGCTTCTAGGGACAGATCCAGCTCATGCAGAACTGTTCGTTTGGCGTCATGCTGCACAAGAGAAGGGATATCAGAGTTTGTTCCTCTGGATGTGGAATGACCGCCCATGAGTCCACTGGGGACCAGTCCCTCTGCACCCACCTTGGCACCCCAAATCTATCCCCTCTGAGGACTTTGTGGACTTTTCCTGCCCCGCTGTCCCCTTCCAAATGCATTCTCCCAAGAGGAGTCTGGTCCATTGTGATTAACAGCTCATAAATATATGGGCCCAGAGCCTCAGCTGGTCTAAATCAGCATACCTTGCTTGAAGTCAGTGCAGCATGCCTGATTCACACACAAGTATAAATGAATTGTGCTTTAAGGCTAGGATTTTTCAAAGGGACTTATATGAATTAGTGCTCAAATTAGCTCCCATTGACTTTCAATAGCAGTTGAGCACCTAACTCCCTTGGACCTATTTGAAAATCCCAGTTTAAATTAATTAAACCAAGCATTAGAGTCATAGAGTTTAAGACCAGAAGGGACCACCAGATCATCTAGTCTCAGTGGCTGTATATCACAGTCCCCCACCCCACCCAGCACCCACACATTAAATTCAACAGCCAAAATTAGACCAAAGTATTACAGCCCACAGGAGACTAGATTATTATGTGCCATAGGGAAAGAAGAGGTGCACCACTGCCTGAAGCCCCTACAATGGCAGGAAATCACTAAGTAAGGTATCGTAATCCTCAAACAATCATAACCCTTCTTAATTCACAACTTACAAAAACTGGTGCTTAGTTTTTTTCTCTTATCTTGATTAAAGCAGCTGTGTTTAAAGAATATGTCCAAGTATGTACAGTGCATAAACCATGTAATGTATGTAGCAAACACCTTTCAACATATACTATTTTGTCTTTTCATTGTCAAGTGCAAGGTAAGCGTCTACGTGTTAAAAATATCAGCAGTAGTCTTTTGACAGCTGTAAAAAGAAAGAGGCTGATTTTGCAGCAACTGTGAAGATACCAATAAATATGAAATGACTTGTATAAAATAGAGACTGCCCAAAGCAGTGAGTTACAATTTATTAGCCACTTGAAAGAAAACCTTGGCAAAGAGTGGCAAGAAAACAAGTGTAATGACAAAGGAGAGTGAACTGTGACTATGAAGTGAATCAAAGCTGTAGGATTTGTATGTGTATTCATTATAAGCTGAACTGTGGCTGTATTATAGTTTCATGGTTTACCTCTTTACATCTTGGAGTGATGTGTGGTTATACTCTCCGGTCTTGGACAGCTCTCTTGAAATGAGTGTCATTAAAAATGTTTGCTAAAGTCCTTCTGTTACCTGGTTCTTCTAAATGTTTGATTTGTTTAAATGACCAGTCTTCCCCAGCCCAAAAGCTGCATTCTCAGCTATTGTAAACAGGAAGGGCTTTAGCAACTCAACTCCCATTAGTGTGAGGGAAAGCAGTGTGGTTGTTGTCTGGCTATGTGGAAAGAATGACAGGAGACATTAGATATGGGTTTAATCAGGCCACAACTTTATTATTAGATGTCTGGGACTAACCTGGTGGATAAAATATGCAATGCAGGTGAAACCCCCACAATTCACCCGGGGGGGAGTGCTTTTTTCAGTCCCCCACCTTTCGGTTCATGTGCCTCCAGCAGATCCACTGCCGGAAACCTCCAATTCCAGCCAATTCCGGGGGGGAGGGGCTTCCACCACCTCCCTCCCCCCCCCTTTTCATCCAGGTCTCTCCAGCAATTCCCTTGCTGGGACCTTACCGACCACCCCCGCCCCCCTCGTAGGAGGGGTTAAGGTGGACTATAATTATGGGTGGTTGGCTCCCTGCTGTACCAATCAGAGGAGTCCCCAACTGCCCCCAGCTCACTCAATTACCAAGCACCTCTCCTTAATTCCTTTTCCAAGCCATTTATCTGTTCTTTTGTGCCTTAGTTTATGGAGTACCTGCACTGAACATCCACTATACACTTAAATAAAGAGTTGTGACATATGGCCTACCGCCCATCATGCTGTGCATGAACAGAGCCCACCTGAACCTGCTGCGAGGAAGGCAAAAAAAACCCACTGCACCTGGCCAGTATGGTCATAAGGGAAAAATTCCTTCCCAGCCCCCATTAATGGGGTGGCTAGCATAATGCCCACCGCAGATATAGCTAATCACCGGCATATTTCTGACCTAAATAGGGAGGGAGAGTGGGTGCTGCCTAGCCTGTTCCAAGTGATGAGGGGAAGGTCCAGGCCCAGGCTGATCTTTTTAAACCCCTCATTCCTAGGTAGTGAGTCATCCACCATGCTGACTGCTTTTCCAGCAGTTTTATGTCTCCTTCCCCCCGCACCAAGCCCAAAAGCATTGCCCTCTTCTCCTGGCCAGCCAGACAACACCGTCCCCCTGTTGCTTAAAGTGCAGGGCAGTGAAACTTACCCCATGCCTCAAGTTAAGAATGTTATGTGTGTCTCCATACTTAGATCTGAAATAAGAATGAAAATACATACAGTAGAACCTCAGTTAAAAACACTTCGGGCATGGAGGTTGTTAGTAACTCTGAAATGTTTGTAACTCTGAACAAAACATTATGGTTGTCCTTTCAGAAGTTTACAACTGAACATTGACTTAATACAGCTTTGAAACTTTACTATGCACAAGAAAAATGCTGTTTTCCCTTTATTTTATTTTTTTAGTAGTTTACATTTAACACAGAACTATACTGTATTTGCTTTTTTTTTTTTTTTTTTTGGCTCTGCTACTGCCTGATTGTGTACTTCAGGTTCCAAATGAGGTGTGTGGTTGACTGGTCAGTTTGTAACTCTAGTATTCATAACTCTGAGGTTCTACTGTCGTAGCCAAAACCCATATACATGTCCATAAACCTGAGCTTAAAAGCCCAATTCCATTCTAAGAAACTATGTGAGTTAGCCCAATCTACAAGTTACATAAGCCATTCAACTGTTTGGGGCCTCATGGTGCTGGGTTGACATGGCAACCTTCCACTCAACCCTGCTCTCTCCCCCTGATTCTGGCAGTGGATTCCAATGGAGAGGAAACTCATCATTCAGACTCACACTTCCTGCAGCTCAGCACTGTGCTCATTTTAAAGCTAGCTATTCAGCCTGTGCATGCCTATGCAATAGCCAATATTACAATATATGAGGCAGTTCTACACAAATGGATAAATCTAGCTCTGTTCTTCATGGGAATTCAGAGCACTGCCCACTGCAGAACCAGCATGGCTCTACTGTAGATAGGGGAGCCTGGATTTAGGAAACCCACCTGGCAGTGCAAACAGAGTGGGGATTTAGGGGCAGGGAAACTAGGGGATTGGCAGTGATGATGGGACTACAGGTGCTGTGGAGGAATCCATCCTTAATTCTTTCACCCCAAACAGCAAAGAATATCTTCGAATGCAGTCCAAATAGCTGGGTCTGCACTGGGCCAAGAGTTGCACTTACGTGGGATCAGAATCAGACTCTCAGTCTGTAGCTGATTTGTTGTACACAGAGGAAAATCCACAAAAGAAATACACGCTTCACACTCATTGTTTCATGAACTGGAGCCTTTATTTTTGTTCCAGACTACAAAAGAAACCACCTAAGGAAAAGAGCTTTCACAAGAGTTGTTATTGCCAACAGTCTTACAGCGTTACAGTATTTTAAAATTATTAAGTACCATAAACATTTTAGAAAACTTTTTTTTAAATCTCAAACCTTTGAACCAAAGTTATGATGTAGCAGTCACCTTTCAAAGAAATGGAACAAGAATTTGTGTTTGTATAGCAAACTTAGTTAAATTATAAAAGTCATGCTTGAAAGCGCTGTATTTACACAAACAAAATGTCAACCAAATATGATAGGCTTTGACTCTGTTGCAGTCAAAGGGAGTTTGTCCTCTGATTTCAATGGGAACAGGCTCAGATCCTTAGTAATTAAGTTAAATGCTCTAAGGGTTTGCTACACAAGCAGAATTATGCTATTTCAGAATAAAGGCACATTTCCCAGTAACCAATTATAATTAGAAGTGCAGTATTGCCCAAAAGTTCATTATTTTCATCTGCCATACTAATGAAAATGAAAACAAATAATGTTCACACAACTCCATCTGCTATCATAAAATCCACAAAGCTATGAACCCCTGAGAGGGATTGATCAACTCTCACTGGGCCATACTCTTTGAGCTGAATTCCACCAGTGTAAACCTGGTGTAGCACCATTTAATTTAATGGAGTAAGTAGGATTTACACCGATGTAATCAGAGCACAATTTCATCCATTGACTTCAGCAGGAGTTGTAGGTTCAGCCTCTCTCAGGAGCCTGGACAGCCCTTTCCAATGGTAAAGCCCATGGAAGTGGGCTAAATTGGAAGAAAACTCAAGGAGAGTTTTCTGAGTTTTGCCAGTATTGTTTGCCCAGACACAGAATGAACTGAGCTGTGGGCCTGCCCACAAACCTAAGGATTCCCCTAGCATCTACAGTAGTGCTGCCTCCACTGTCTCTATAGCTCCAGTTCCCCATCCACACTCCCTAGTGGCATGGCTGCAAGGAGCATCCCTGGCCACAGCTACTTC